TTGGATTTTAATATTTATTTATATTCTCTCTCCCCACCTAAAATTGTTTAATCGTTTAAATATAACTTGAGTATATTATCTCAGACATTTATTTATTCTAACTTTCTGAGATTCTTTTTTCTTAAAGTCCACGTCGCGTGGCGTTAGTTGTCATGTCTACATACAACTCTTCTGTCTCGTGTACTTTCAGCCAACTCTGACACTGATGATCCTCCATGCCAATATGTAAAAGTGTCCAAATCTTTTCTCTCCGTCTCCCTTTGCTTTTCACACCAACTAGGATGTTTTTTCAATCAAACTGGGCACCTTTTCTAAACCGTCAAAATTAATGTATATGCTGCAATATTTTAGAGGTAGTGTTTCTGTAGCAAAATTAAGCTAATTCTTTCGAGAAATTTCTTTGACAGTGTCCATTTAAAGGATTGTCCCATTCTTCCTTCTTTGAACGGGACTGTAAAGTTTATGAAACTACCAACGATAAGCAATGGATGAAAGGGCGCTGTTTCGCCAAGGCCTTTCTATTTGACTGGCATAGTTTCAATGAAATACGATTTATATCTTTATTTCTAAAGATACAATTAGATTTTCTAGCTTGTTCTTAGTCCAAGTTTTCTCTCCAAATAGAAGTGTTTCCAATAGATAGTGAAATGCGATTTTCACGAATACGGTGATTATTTTAGCTAATCTTTGAGGCAAGACAACCAGCATATAAGACTTAAGGTTTTCGGTTCGACTTCGAGTTGATGTGGTCGTTCTTCGAATATTATCATTAGCATCCAGGTAGATTAGCATTATTTTGAAAACTGCCGAAATTAAATTTTGTTTTCTTTCTGTGACTTTGCTGCTACGAGACATTCTATTTGTCTAATGTCTCTCTCTCTCTCTCTCTCTCTCTCTCTCTCTCTCTCTCTCTCTCTCTCTCTCTCTCTCTCTCTCTCTCTTTCTCTCACTCTCTCTTTCTCTCTCTCTCTCACTCTCTCTCTCCCACTCTGTCTGTCTCTTTTCCCTCTTTTTCATTTTCTGTCTCTCAGTCACTCTATCTCATCTTTTCACTTTTTTTTTTTCAAACATACACAGCACGCCCCCCCACCTCAAACCCTTCTAACCCCCCCCCCCCACCGCCACACAATAACACGATTGCGTTACATGGGAGTAAAGCATAGTGAAGCACGTCAATGCCGCCTTGGAGGCCGAGACAACGGACATTATAACCAGCTCCTCATAAGAACAATCAGTTATTTTATCTCGGAGTAGCTGCTGCATCGGAGAACTGAACATGCATAGGAATGCCAAATAAGCAGTGACGTCGATTGTTTTAACATAACATAACATAACATTAATGCACGCTCATACACACACATACACACACATACACGACGTTCTACAAAGTAACTGCACCATTCAATACTAGATAAATGAAGTCAATAGATGTATTTCATTTACTGATATCAGGCACCAACACTTAGACCTCTCTTGATAACTGCTACTTCTTTGCCATCACTTCTATAGGCTTCAGTATTAATTTAAATTTCTGTTGTCCATGTTTTGTTAAAGACAATGTGCAAAACAGAAATGAACCACTGTTTTGACACCAATAGGAAAGTAAAAAGTGAAGATCCCTGTTCATGTCTTAGGCGCATTGGGCATATGGGAAGAGCATCCTATATTTTTACAGACCAATCGGCACTAGGCGGGTAATGTGGTCAGCATTGCGCAAGCCGTCTTTACTTCCCCAGGACAGACATCATGGTACCCATTTTAGGCTGGATCGACCTGCGACGCCCCATACCAAGAAACAAATCAGCCATAATTGGGTTTCGATCGCGGTACGTTGGAATTACGAGTCGGACTCGCAACGCCTTAGCTACGGACGCCGCATCACCTCTATAAGCTTCAGTAATAATTTAAACATCTTTTGTCCATGTTTTGTTAAAGACAATATGAAAATAGAAATGGGCCAATATTTTGACACCAATCACTACTCCATAAATGAAATAAATATTGCACCTTCAGAAATCAAACATTCACCAATGTTTGGACTTCACTTTACAACTGCTGTTTCCATAACCATTATTTCTCTAGAGTTCTCGTTGAACAGTAAAGCCGATTTTCTTTCCATTGCATATTTCATTAGATACGGGTGAAAGGTTTCACTACAGCTTTCATTATCAATTCTTGTACGTTGACCGAGCTCCAGACGTTTTAAATGAATAATTTCTTTCAGCTGGTTGGTCCCACATGGGAAATTTAATTATAAACTAGAGAGAGCTTTCCCTGTCAGTGTTGATAAAGTAGTATTAGTGACTTCCGAGTTTTGACTGTGGTCTGAAGACACATACAGGAGATACTGCTGGGTGGACACCAGCGTAAATGTCTTCTAAAGTAGGAGGGATCTCTCAGAGGTTGCCACTGCCTGAATATTAGGCTCGAGAGTCAGGCACGCCGAAGCAACAAGAAGGGTAGGGTGAGGTCGCTCAGCATTTTTATAATTGCTTGGGGGGGGGGGGGGGGAGAGGAGGGGGGGGGGGGGGGCACATGGTCTCAATAGGCTTTAAAAAAAATTTTTTGTGTATCCTTTACAGAACGTTGCACAACCGCCCCCATCGTTTCTTGGCGGTACTGGTTTTCCTAGGCAAAATTTAACGGTCATTATTTGCCATTGACACAATGAGATGGACGGTCGGCTCTTGAAACTAGTGTTGAAAGCAAAGCAAGGCCAAATCGCCTGCAGCTTGGATCGAAGCCGGCACCGCGGCATTACGAAGAGCGGGCTTTAAGCTTCGTTTTAATTGCGCAGTTATTATTATTTTTTTTCTTCTTCTTCTTCTTCTTCTTCTTCTTTTTCTCAGTGTTAAAAAAAATGTAATAATATATGTGAAATAATATGAAAATTATAAACATTCCTTTAAAAAAGAGCCTCTATACATAAGGAAGGAGGGGAGGGGGACAGGGGTTTTGCTTCCTTAAAAACTATTTTTGGAGTGGTTGGACTCAAGGTACCCCCCCCCCCCCCACCCTTTCCTTGTTCTGGCGACCATAGCGAGATTTTGTGGATGGAATGAGAGGTGAGCAGTGTAAATTGTGGCTGGAGGGGATAAGCTAGTCTGTGGAAACCCCTATAGCCAGGAATTACAAAGGAAATAAAGCGTGGTGAATCACGTCTATGCCGCCGTCGAGGTCGAGATAAAAGACATTATAACCAACTGGCCGTGTAGGTTCCTGAGCTCCCCCTGTGAGGACAACAAGAACGACTCACTGCCTCCTCTACAACCATGTCGTAGGAGTCGACTATCCTTCGAAATCGGAGTGCATCTGTCTGAGAAGCAAGGAACCAAGAGTCTGCACACATAAAAGCCAGACTTGCGAAACGGATGAGCAGACTCTGAGGTTCTGGAACAAGACTTAAGTCCGGAGGTGGAGGAACTCCTTGACATTTCCGCCGGAGTTTCAGATGATGGACACGAAAAAGAAGAAGTTTGTAACCAACTTTTCATGGGAGCAACCCTTGGACTGGCTGCTGCATCAGAGAAATGAGCACACATAGGAATGTCCCATGTGTAGTGACGTAGATTGTGATAACTCAAAACATAACATGCATAGGGAAAATTCCCACTTGTTATGCATCCCACCGACACGCCAAAGTACTGGAGGAACGTCTTCCATCTTGCCTTCATCGGCTGCACACCCCTTCGGGAAATACCTTTCCTTCGTCCACTCCTGGACTGGTATTGTTCCATTACTCGAGTATTGCCTGTACATCCGTTTTACATATGTGACATTTTTGTATGCAGACTGTTGGTTCAGTACATCTTAGGCTGAGGCACTCCGATTACGAAGGGAACTACACGGGGGCGCCGACACAAAGAAAACATAATGTTAACATTTTGTTAACTTTTATGGGGAGGGGAGGGAGGGAGGGGGGGGGGAGAATCTTATAGATCAAAAATGAGTCCATGTTGGTTTCAAGGGAATTAAGCCTTGTTTAAGTGTGTCCTAGTCATAATAATAATAATTATTATTATTGTTATTATTTAAGTTTTAATTATAATGTGCTAAATAACAATTGAATTTAGGAAAACATTTCAAATAATATGAAATGGAAATGTTACTATTAGAGTCTGAACCAGAACCACTGTATTTCTATGTTTCTGTAACAACCATTATGGCTCTATTGAGAAGTTTTCTTATTGCTAATTCTATACCGTGAGATGGCGTTAACCATGCCTGTCTTAAGCTTTCTATCATGAAAAGATGTAAAAGCAAATGAAAAGTAGAACCAGTCAAGTTCACATTATGAGAAACACATACGCCAAGAAAATGTTGCGGCTTGATAGCCTTCTTCAGCACATATATAAATATACAATACCGCAAAAACGAACAAGAATACATAAAGTGATTGTGAGAAAAATCACGACTCTGGCCAGTTGAATCTCTGACACGTAGGTCTAAAGCTTTAGCATATCTGTCTGATCAGCTAAATCTCTGACACGTTGGTCTAAAGGTATAGTACATCTGCCTGGCCAGTTAAATCTCTGACACGTAGGTCTAAAGCTTTAGTAAATTTGTCTGGCCGCCCGGCTCTCTAGCGTAGTTGGCTAAACCAGATTGCGCGGAGACCGGGTGACGAACTCATTGTGGTCCGGGTTTAATCCCGGGGGTGGGCAGGAAAGCCACATGTCCTCCCATATTTACGGTATTTACAATGGAATCAATGCCGAAAGGTTGCGATATCTATAATAATGAGCCTAAGGGTTAACAACTCATGGCTTCTGGATACTAAAACAAACAAACAATCTGTCTGGTCACTTGAATCTCTGACACGTAGGTCTAAAGCTTTAGCACATCTATCTAGCCAGCTGATTTTTTTTACACGTGTGTCTAAAGCATTCTGTCTCGTGTACTGTAAAATTCTTTAAACATATGTTCTTCCATGCCAAAATCGTCCTCTCTTTTTCTTCCCACCATCTTAAAACGTAACGTTCATGTATTTCCTGTTTCAGCTGTACGAACTGAGTGAGGATCCAAAGAGGAAGGAGTTTCTGGACGAACTTTTTGCTTTCATGCAAAAACGAGGTAGGTGATGATATTATATTGTGTTCAACGAGATTCTTATTGTCATTGTTGTCTTCTTTTGTATTCCTATCATCATCATTATCATCGTCACGATCATCATCATCATTATCAACATCAGTATCATCAGCATCATCACTTCAGTCATCAGCTTTTTTCCTCTCTAAAGCAAACCATTATGTGATCATCATTTGTACACGTGAATCAAGCAAAGCATGATGTGTTGAGTTTTCATGAGTTTTCAGTTTTGCCCTAGCATCCTATAGAAATCTGGCAAGATGTTTTAACCAGCAGAACAACTGTTGGAACATACTTCGACTATTGAACTTTGAGTGGGTTTCGGAGCTTTCCTTTTTAGGGGGAACAAGCAATGGTCCATTACTCCTTCACAAGCAGGCAGTAAAATGCGTCTCATTAAAACTGTGTTGGACGGAAAGGTACAGATATTAGCTGCAAACTACGACACAGCGTATCAGCCGCTTGTTAAGGCTAAACGCAGAAGAAGAAGCATTCTGATTATCATATAATCCTCAACTTGTTCACTACCGGGCAACATCCTTTACATTCCTTTTCTTTCTAACAGAAAAGTCGCTGTTCTCCCTGCCTTACATAGCAAACAATATATTGTATTAAATCTTAGTAAATTATATAGCAGGGGTCCCTTTTCCACGTCTTTTGGGCGTATTAGGCCTTTAAGGCTAGACCTATATTTTATACACTAATGTGTGGGTGATGTGGTCAGCATCCCGCCGGTCACCTATGCTTGCCAAGACTTTACCTGGTACGCATTTTGAGGTTGGCTCGACCTGGGTTCCAAGGCCATTTAAAAATAAAAAATAAAAAAGAAGTCCGGCACTATGGTAACCCATAGCATATGAGTAATTAGCTAAATTATGCCTCCCTGTAGTGCCTCTCTTAAACTACCTTAGACATAGTTTTTGTTTTGCTTTAACTCATCTAATAGGAATTTAAAATTACTGTTTAATTTTTGTTTTAACTAAATACGATGATTTCGATTCTTCTTCTTCTATTGTCGTCTCACTGATACTAGGTTCTATCCCAGTTTCATTGTTTCCTGTTATTCTCTCGCGCCTTTCGGGTGGCTTAGTTGATGGATTTGTCCACCTTTGTGTCTATTACCACGTGCAAATACCTAGAATGCTGTATGAGTAGTTTAGTTTTATCTTATCTTACCGTTTCGATCTGTATACAATTTCACACTTTAAAAAATAATATCTTTCATGTGACAACGCAATAATGTATCAGTAGAACCATAATTTTACCATTATTATGTTGTCTGCTTCCAACAGGAACACTCCTACATTTGTATGTGACATGTCACGAAAATTAGCACCATTCAGGAATCATACAATTTAGAAGACGGATTAACTTTAAAGCTGCAATTATGATCTTCCATGACGTCAGTATCTTTGCTGGATCCATTTGTAACTGGCCTAACTAGTTATGTTGGAGCATAATTTGCTGTTAGCTCAACACCCGGTCTTTTATAGAAGTCTGGCCAATATAAATATTGCACAAAGCATTTATTTCAATGCAGATGATCATGAAGTATGATCAGTGTCTGTCCGTGTAAATCAGAAAGCGAACCCGAGAAGAAAAATAAGAATGAAGTGATGACATCAGCATTATTTATTATAGAACGCTATCTTTATTCTAGCATTTTTTCCCTAGCGCGTTAATTAAATTATTGATATATTGTAGCACGTTTCATTAATGATTCATTGTATGACGTAAGATTTATTTTGACCTGCTCGTTTTCCTTGTCAGAAACAACAAAACTCTGGAGATGTTGGGATCAAATGAGCCCACATAATTTACGGTTCATTTCTACCCATTATTAATATCTCCGACACTCAGGTTTCATGTTGTCAACTTGCGTCTCAACAAGGTAATCTATGTCCAGAACCGCCTGATTGATCCGCGAACTTTCAGTTGCAAAAAAGTCGTTGTAAATCTTCACCGGCCGCAAGACGGCAGAGATGCTATTCTAATAACCCTCTGACACTGATATTAATGGGCAAGTCTGGAGGTCGGAGGACTGAATTTCTTAGGTGTAACATTTTTGTACTGAGGTTGTGTAGGTTTCGTTGACATCTTCGCCAAGCGGTAATATGAATGTGGTTATATGTTATGTCTGGTTCATATGACAGCGAACATTGGAAATCCACATAAGGTATTACACGAAAGATAAATGCATATCAGCACAAATTCTTGGAAATGTTATGTATAAATGCATATAAGTCGTTGTTGACTTAGAAGGACTTTCACAAAGGATCTCTATCGCTACTGATCTGTTGCATTTCTGTCCTTGAATCCTATGACGTTGTACATTCTTCTATTTACATTTCTGCTGCCCTCCAGATTTCATTAGGTCATTCACGCCTCTATTTTTTTTTTTTTTTTCATCTTCCGTTGACCGGAGAGTTATCCTCAAAAAAGTGTCAGAGGCATTCTGTAGTCATGTTTAAGCTACATCTCCATCTGTTTAATTTGAAGATATTTTTTAATATCAAGTTAATAAGGAGGAAGTTCAACGAAGGCGAAGAATTCAGAGACATGATTTTACAACACCTCGTGCCAACAGCTGCACAACAAATACAATGGTAATGCTCTGGACAGACTCTGGAAAAGAACGGACAAAGAATAATACACCAGGCACTGAAACGAGACAAAAAATTAACTAAAGAAGGGAGAGCTTTCAAGAGAAAACTTTCGATAAACGTCGTTGAGCGATGCCAAAGGTGCTAGACTTGATTTCATATACAGAATCGAAAGCATTGCACATGCCATATCGCAATGAATCAATTGATGATAACCCGATGTGACGTTTCCAAAGCCCACAAGGATGGTGATGATGATACTATGCTCCCTGCTACCATTTCTATAGGTTTATGTATGTGTATGCTGATAACTTTATACAATATCTATATTTTGTGGCGTCATAATCTCAACAGGAGCGGCGAATCGTTCAAACAATCATGCTTCGTTAAGCAAATGTGTCCAGTGTTAAGTATTCACTAGTCTATAATATGGCCTAAAAAAATACGCAAAATGGAGAACATTTTATTTTACTGAGGGCCTGAAGATTTGACCATAACATAAAAATGTGTCGTATATTATAGAATAAGAATACATTGGACGGACAGAGTAACTAACAACTATTGTTTGAAGAGAAATAAAAGCTAATGAAAGTAGATCTCTATATACAACAATAAGAAGGAGACAAACATTGTTCTTTAGACACGTAATGAGAAAAGAGGCATTGGAAAACAACTAGAAAGATCAATGGAAAGAGGGGTAGAGGCAGACCGAGATAGATGTGCTGAAACTATAGCATGGAGGGATATCATCAAGAGAGCTCCTCCAGGCAACCAGGGATCGTGACATGTGGAGACGCATGAACGCCTGCGCCGGTTGGCATGGCATATGATGATGATTTCATAGAAACAACAACGAATAAATACACAGTTTATGAAGAAACTGAGAAGGAAAACACAGTCATTGAGGGAGTAGGGGGATTAAACTGCAGGCAGGGGCAATTTTTCTGCTTTTTCTTCGAACCTTTTGTCAGAATAAAAAATACAAAACCGGAGACCTTGGTGAAAGATGTCGTGAAATCCCAACCTCTCCCTGTACCACATAGTTTTGTCTGGATTTAGGTTTGGTGGCTTCGAAATGGCAGAGGGCTTCGCTGTTATGGTGTGTTTCAAAACTTACCTCCTCATACTTTCACGAAACCTAGGAAACTCATGTATGGATCAACAGGAAATTTTTACCTGTGGCCTTATGTGTCCCATGTCCTGACGATTCCACAACTAAGATGCTGTTGCTTCTTGAAGTGGCCAATTTCTTTGACCTTTGTTTGATTAATAATTTATGTACCCCCTAAAAAAAAAAAATATTGACACACGTGTGGAGATTGTTTTGAATTTAATTCATAGGGGCAGCGATGCGTGATGATTATTTTGGTAACCTATTCCCCACTCAATGAAATATCTGCTACTCATGGGAGACTAATGCTGTGGATGACTGTCTGAACATAAAACGCCTACTAAATGAGTGAAGTTGTATGGTCTAAAAAGTTGCATTTCTCAATTTAATCAAGTTACTGTAAGCATACTGATAATTGCGTTTGAATGTATTAATTTTTGTTTCTTTCGTATACCGCAAATAAGGCAACGTGAAAACTAAATGTTTGTTTACATTTTTTTTAATGTCTCACAAGAACATGATTACTATCAGGCTAAATGCCACATTTTAACAATTTACACTGCACATTTACTGTGTTATATGTTTTTGAAGTGCGCCCGGACTTTAGGAACGGACTACAGTAGCATACAGTTTACAGTGTTGGAGTAAAGACTTGACAGGTATACTATTAAACAAAGTTAAACTGGACGTGAAACCCGAAGAAAGATGAACAGAGACACAAATGGAAGAAAATTATCAAGAGATGGAGCAACAACATACTGGGAGAGTAAATAACTAGAGCAAGAGATGAAGATTGTTGTAGAATCATTGTAGCCAACCTTGATTTTGGAGACGGCACATGGTTAATGGAAAAAACTAACTATAGGCAAATCGAAAAATTATTGAAATGTCGTAAAGTTATAAGTGTGTTTGTTAAAGGCAGATGGTGATGAATGTAGGTTCATACTAGTAAGACCAGATACGTTCCGTTTCTTGGCTAGGTGCTATCCCTCACAATCATTGTTTTTTAAAATTGATGCTACTTCCCAGCTTAGCTGTGGTTAATCTGCACATCCACTCTTGTATATGGGAGTAGTACATTGTCAGGTTCCAAATATCTTTCTTACTGCGGCTCTTTGTGGTTAACAATCCATTTTTCTTTCGAAATCAATGGCTATGTAGATCCAATCCTAGTACAGTACATGCTAATTGAGAAACGCGTTCAATAACCTACAAGCTTGAGAAACGCACATTGTTTAATTAGTAACGTAGTTAAAAACACAATGAAAGCA